TAATAAAATACATTGAATCTGCTAGTATTGAACAGATTCAAATATTACTAGACACATATGGTGCAAGAAGTCCAAAAACTTTATTCTACACTAAACAAATTAATCTGTCTTGTTAAAGATAAGTCAGACAAGTTATTATCTTGATTGTAGATAAGCCAAATTTAGTATCCTAATCATAGCTTATCATTAAGATAGTTTAAATATTACAATAATAAAAAAAAATAGATTGCAATACATTTATGTAATTTATAAAACAAGATAGTCGTGAATGTTTATATATATTTGTTATGCATATTACAGTAAATATAGTTAATTACACCCTTTACAGCTATCAACAAATTATAGTAATTACACCTATTACAGCAATTATAACTATTACGACATTTATAGCAATATGATAATATTACAACTTTAGGTACTAGTTGTAATTTAGGTTATAATTCAGATTGTAATTCATAATATCTATAACTATTACTTATGGCTAGCAACCTTATTCATGTCTCTTAAAGCTTCTTATACTTGATTTATAAATATAAGATTTATGCTTATATCTTTCTTCAATATGGTATACTTCATTTGATTTTCTTCAGATATCTCTCAGAAGAGTCTAATATCATAATATTTAACAGAATACTTTTGTGTTTAAACTATTTCTTATTAACTTCTAAAAGATACTAGTATATAGCTTTTGTTATTTCTATTTGAATTTTTAAAAACATATACTGTACTTGTACTAATATATTTTAGTTGTCTGAACAGTAATACTTCATTTATATTTTGTAATATATTATATAACCTCACTATGAACTATTTCTATTTTTCTGTATTTCTTTTCTATTTAATTCTAGAGTTATATATACTAAGAGTTCATTTGTAAAAGGAATAACTCAAGCTTCAATTCTTTATACAAAACCATTTTCTTTTTCAAAAAAGATTTCTGCTCTTGTTTTTTCATATTTTTCTCTTATTATTTTGATGTTTTTGACATATCTCAAGTATTTGATTGCAAAGAAAACTTATAATTTTGATATATAGTAGGATATGTTTCATATAGTAATAGTTTCTTCTTTGCTTAAATATAGCTTTCTTTCCTTAGCTATATTGTTACTTTTACTAAAATCTGCTTTTTTATTTAGAAGAGTCTCTTGTTCATATATATTTTTTTTCTCTTTGTTTTTTATTGATGATACTTTCTCTTCTTCTGTTTGATTAGATACTATCTTTTTTTTTTTTTGCTTATACTACTTGTTAAGCACTCATTTTTTTTAGTCTAGTTATATAAAATAGACCTCTTCTTTTATATTTCTTCAAGCTTCTTCTTTGCTTAAATCTTTTTTTTTCTTTTACTTTGCTTTGTACTACTTTTCTTTTCTTTATATTTTCTTTTTTGACTTTTTTCTTGAGTATTAGATTTAGCTAGTTAAATTCATTCTTCTTTTTTTCTAGTCTTAACTTAGCTTTTTCATATTACCTTTATAGTCTTGAAATGATTTTTAAAATTCTTTTTTTTGGGAGGATTTGTTTTTTTAAATCTAAAAGTAGATTTTGATGATGATTCTCAGAATTCAGATAATTAGACATATATAACAGGATGCATACTTGATACAGCAACTTTAAAGTAATTGTTAATTTTAATATCGATATATAGTAATCAAGAATAACTTTATATTTGTAATCAAATATAGTAATTCAAGATTTTATATGGTACATAGGAACAAATTAAAATTAATATTTTTAAATAATGAAATAAATAGATTTTTTAATGCTTTGCGATCTTATAAAAATTAATATTTTTTTATGATTATTGTCAAGAATTTGAAAGTATTAAAGTTTTATAAATCTCGATTTAAACCAATTTGACATTACAATCTTGTTGAATTTAGTTTGTGTAAAGTGACATAGATATTTTGTAATTCTTCTATAAAACAAAATACTTTTTTAAATATATGTATAAGTTTTAAATAATAGAGAGTTATTAAGAGTAATACTATAATATGAATTAAATAAAACTGTCTATATATCATTACAAGTAAAAAAACAAGTATTTAGATATTAAATATATTGGTTATATAAAATATCATATTATAAATTAACTAGCAAATTTTTAAATCATTGAAAAATTATAATTTTCTAAAATGATTAGACAAAAATGAACACATAATAATAATTCAAATGATAGTGATACTAAATTCAGAAATTCTAGTAGTTCAAAATCGGGAGGATATTCACTAACTGGTGTTTAGAAATGTTTTGAAAGAGGTCAATCCAAAGATGATAGTCATTAGGAGGGAACTTGTAAATATTGTAAAAAATTTTATCTACATGCCAAACTACAAACTTTGCATGCATATCTTGCTAATAGTTGTAAACATATTCCTGAGAAGTGACAACACCATTTTAACTATATAATTATCAATAATTTAGATAATATTCCAACAGATGAATCTATGTCTGATACTGTTTTGTCTTTAGTCAAATGACGAAAAAAAGATAAACAATCTGAGTTAACTAATTGGTTTAATTCTATTAAAATTGAAATATCTAAACAATTAATGATTAATGAAACAATTGTACTAGCCTTTATTATATATGGTATTCTCTTTCATGTAATCAATAATCCATTTTTTGTAAATACTTTAAAGCTTTTAAATCCTGGTTATAGTGTTCTATTATGTGAAATTCTTTCAAGATATTTATTAGATACTAAAGTTGCAAAAGTTATAAATAAAGTTAATAAAATTTTAGACAGTAATAATCATCTTACTATTGGTCTTGATGGTTGAACAGCTTCTAATGGGTTATCAATTTAGAATTTTGTTATTATGACATCATTATGATAAGAATACCTCTATAAACTTAGAAACTATTCAGAACAATCACATACTGCAGAATTTTTAGCTAACCAAATTGAGCAAATTATAAGTTATATTGGTAAAAATAAAATTTTAGCAATTGTTAGTGACAATAGAGCTAACATAGCATCTGCACATCATATAATTTGCTTAAAATATAAAAATATTATGAATATTCGGTATATAGCTCATTGTTTTAACTTAATTAGTAAAGATATTATTAAACATACATTTGCAGAAAGAGTGATTCAGTGTGCTAATAAAATAGTAGGTTTTTTTAACAAATCTTATAGAGCTGCAGCTTTATTAAAACAAAAAATTTTCAATATCAAGTTAGTAGTGGTAGTCTTAAAACATATATACAAACCAAATAGACAACTGTATATGAGTGTATTTTTTCAATCATACTTCTTAAAATTTGCTTAGAAGAAATTCAAGAAAATCAATCAGAAATTATTAGTCCTGCTATTTTAACAATATTTCATAGTCGAGGCTTTTTTACTGATTTGCAATATCTTTCAGGGGTTTTACTTCTAATTAAAGATGCAATTTTAGCAGTTGAAGCAAATTGTTCTATACTTGCTAACTGTTATATTAATTTAATAAAAATTGCTATTGCAATTCAAAACCTTCCTTCTGATGAATATAAAAGATTTCGTAATTATTGTATTAGAAAATTTAATAATCAGTTTGAAGAATTTAATGATTCTGCTTATTAGCTTGCATATTTTCTGCATCTAGTATATAAAGGTATTGGATTAAAATTTGGTACATTTTTTTCAATTGCAAGTTATGCTAGAATGTTATAGAAACAAATGGGTAAAACAAAAGAAAGTTGTGAAGCTTTAATAACATAATTACAGATTTATAAAGAACAAAAAGAATATATAAATAGAACTTCAAATTCTTATATAGCACTCTATACAATTGGTAATAATATACTATTAATGTGGTAGAATATATGTGAAGCCCAACTTGACTATTTACAATGTTTGGCTATTAAACTTTTTTCTATTATACCGAGTTTAGCTATGTGTGAACAGATGTTTTCAGCACTAAGATGGATTTATGAAAAGCATCGTACCAGACTAGATGTAGATTAGTTAGAAGAGTTGGCAAAAGTTTATCGATTCAATTTATCAAATCCTACAGAACAACTTCGTCATACTTAAATAGTAGAAATAACTTCTGATATGATGATGAATATTATAGAGACTGTTTTTAAAGAAATTAAAGAAAAGTCAACAGAAGATGATAATATAAAAATGCTAAATCCTACTGAAGATCTTTATTTGAATGAACAGGATTTAGATTTAAGTATTTCAACATTTATTGATCTTAAATTTTCAGTCTTTACATCATCTAAAAATAATTATGAAAGTGAAATTTTAAATAAAATTGAGTCTGACAATAACGATACACAAGAAAGTGAATATGATGTTGACAAAATTGTTGCTATATAATTAGATTTTAATTTACATTAAATATTATATAAAACATAGTAGGTAGTTTTATAAATTCTAAAAAATAAATACTATATAATATTATTTCGCTAATCTATTTAATCATGTCATATATAATAACAGTTAAAGAAAACCTAATCTTGTAAAAACAAATTTTATTTTACTCCTATTCTATTGAATATACATTTTTATCTTCACTTTATTATTATGTTAATATAAATATTTGTCATAAATATCTAAATTAAAAGTCTATTATATGCTTATTATCACTTTATTAAGATCTGTTATAGTTACTACATACATGTATATGTAAATAATTATCAAACAAGAAATTTATCTGTGAATATGCACACCTGAACAAGTCACTCTTTTAAAGGCTTGATAACTTCTTGGTTTATTAAAATCATTATATTACTATTAGATGCTACTGTGTTGCAGTACCTGCATATCGGTACTTAATTTTATGTATTTTAAAAAGTTCATACGAATTATTTTTATATATCAGTTTCTTTTAAAATTACACTAACCAAATCTGTATTTCTTTGATATTATTTTTATATTGAAAATATAATTGAGATAATTTTGCAGCATACTAAAGTAGCTCCAAGATTTTTTTTATTTATCTCAATTCTTTTTTCTAATTCAGTGATGGTTAGTAATTCAATATTTAAGTTTGGAGTGAGATTTTTCCTTAATCAGATAGTAATCTTTTGTTACTAGTTTAGTCTACATTATGCAATTATCTACATATGTACTAGGCACTATATACATTACAACATTATACCTATTACAACTGTTACATCTGTTATATATATTATGGCTATTACTGCTATTACAGCTATTACAGCTATTACAACTGTTATATTTATTACAACTATTATATTTATTACGACAATTATACTAATTACAATTATTACATCTATTATAGTAAAACATTACAACTTGAAGGCAAAAGTTGTAACTTTACAACTTTGATAAACCTATTACAGCATGCAACCTTAGATATGAATTATCTTTTAAAAAGTCAACCTTCCCTTATAAAGATAAAAAGAAAATCATAGAAAAGAAAAATGGACTAGAAAATAAAACTTATGAGAAATTAGAAAAATAAAATAAATTTTATATAGAAGATAGAAGAAAAGAACATCACAAAAAAAAATGAGTACAAAGAATTTTTTAATAATATAGTATAATATATTTAAGCTTTAAAAAAAAAATTAAGTAGCTTTGAAAATAGCTAAGGCCTAGAAGCCTCAAATTGCTTCTAAAAGTTATTAAAATTAAATTAATAAAACTTTAATCAATTAAGAAGTAAAACTTAAAAGACAAAATAGAGCAGACTAAAATAAAGAAGAATATAGAGAAAATATAAAAAAAAAAAAAGGAAAAGAAAGTTATATGATAATAATAGGGACAGAAGAGAAAAACAAAAAAGTATAAAAATAGACGTATATAATATTAATAGAATTAAAGAGGATAATACAAAAGTAGAATTGCTAGCAGAGTATAATAAGTCAGAAAGATATAACATTATTAGAATAGTAGAAACTAATATAAGTGAACAAGAAGGCAAATAGATATATACAAAAGAATATAGTTATTTAAGCTTTTGAATAGAAGCAGAAAAAGGAAAATATAAAGGATTAGGAATTAGGCTTCTAGTTAACTAAAATTAGTTAAAAAATATAGGAGTTTGTAAAAAATTTAGCTCATACTTACTTAAAGCTAATTTTTCTTCAAAAGAGTAGTTTTTCAAGTTTGAATAGTATACCTACCTTCTAAAAATAAAGAAGTAAGAAAAAAGTATATAAGATACTTATGAAAAAAATTATTAAGAACAGGAAAAACATAGTATATATAATCTTAAAAGATTTTAATATAGTATTAAGTAAAAAACTAAATATATGTAGTAAAAGAAGAAGAAATACAAATACTAATACAAGAATCATAAAATAGTTAAAAATACTGATCATATAGAAACTTTCTAATTTTGCAATCTAGAGCTAATTAAGTACTTATAGTCAAATAGTAATATATCAACTAGAAGAGCTATTATTACTACCTACTTTTTACTAAATTATATTTAGACAATACAGAATATGAGAAGCTTCATTCTAAATAGTAATATAGAACAAATAGAAATAGTAACAGATAGTAACTATGAAATAGTTTAGTTATAACTAGATAGTATAGATATTTTAGAGAAGAATAAGTAGAGAAACAAAAAAGAACAAAAGGAAACAAGAAGACTATACTAATACTACAAAGTAACAGAAGAAGATTAGAATAATTATAGTTAAGAAGTAAAAAAAATTATTCAAAATATAGAAAAAAGAAAAAGAAGAAAAAAAAACTAAAGAGAAACAGAGCTTAAAACAAATATTAATAAAAAATAAGAGCTAATAGTCAAAGCAATACAAGTAGTAGCAAGCAAATATATTCTTTTAACAAAATACAAAACTCAAAAAGTCAAATTAAAAAAGAAGTTATGAAATCTCTAATATATAGTAGAACTAAAGTCTTAAGAAGAATATTCAAAAAAAGGTTTAAAAAAATAGAATATAGTAGGTCTAGTGATCTAGTATAGTAGTTAGGTTGTTAGACTACTATGCAATAGATCTAGAGTTCAAATTCTACTATCAATGAATTTGAATAATTTCTCAGACTTTGTGATATGTTACAATAAACTCTATCTGTTTCTGAGGATATACTTCTGTAAATTGAGTTATATCAAATCGATTAGAACTTGGAAGTATAGTATAATATTACACAAATAAATCTTAATAGGATATATGAGCAGAGAATCTGCATAGTAGAAATTCCAAGTCAGTGAAGTAGTACAGCCTTCTGACAGGACTACATCAGCTAAAGTCTGATCTGAG